AGGGGATGACACGCAGCAAAGGGCCGCAGGTCGGATTCGAACCCTGGGCTGCTGCAGCAAGGACTCAGCCTCGGTACATAGATGGTGACCATCTCTATCGACTGAGCTAACCGGGCGCCCTGAACTCTACACTTTATGCAACAGAATGTTCTAAACCCAATTCTGCAACCAAATACTATGTCAGGACATGTTTGGTTTAGGCTGGGCAGGCAGGTCGATAGTAGGGGCTCAAGAAAATATTGCCACCCAAGTGAGCAGGGATGTCGGGGGGAGCAATGTCCTACTCGAGTGTTTTTGCCCCCAATCCCCAGCCCCCATTCAAGAAGCTTGTAAAAATGCCATCTGCGATAAAATGGCAAGATTATAAATACAAAGGTCACAGTCAGAGAGGATTACAACAAAATGTCCATTACTATAAGCAGGTCACACAGGCTCTGGCAGGCCAAGCCAGGTCCTCCACACCAAACCCGTCTAACCATGTCGTCATGGACCTTGCCTTGGGCACAGGGTCAGAGCCAAACTGGAATACCAAAGGGCCTTCCCGAACCTGTCCCCACAAAGTTGGAAGCACCCAATTGGCTACAATGTCTTCGTATCCTGTAGCCTTAAAAAGACTCTTCACTGGAACTAAGGGGCCAAGCCCAAACTGTGAAAAGCACATCTTTTATACCACTCCAACTGGTGATGTGAGGCTTGCATGCAGCTGATTGACCATGGAAACGTATTTCATGAAGCTCTTGGTGCACAGTTTGTGTGCTGATGTTGCTTCCAGAGGCAGTTAACTCTGTAGTGACTGAGCCCATGTGCTACATGCTTCAGCCCCACCCACTCTGAGTTTGCGTGGTCTACCACTTGGTAACTGAGCTGCTGATGCTCCAACCACTTAATAGCACTTAGTTAGCAATGGGTGTAGCTGAAACACCTGAACTCAGTAATATGTATGTTTGTCCACTGACTTTAGGCCCTGTAGTGTTTTTTCTATGTGGTTTAAACTGACTGACTGGCTGTGAAATGTGACTTAATGATGACAGAGGTTACCAAGCTTTATCCTGTGAGGGACCAGCTGTGCATTTGACAACAGACCTGCATTTGACACGATTTTGTCCTACAGAAGACCACCGAACACACTGTTCCTTACATCATTTGATACAGACAGAGCAGTGTAGACTTCATTTTACTGACCTTGGTGTACTTGTTAAAGTTTTGGAGAATCTCATAGCCCCAGTCTTGGTACTTGTGGTCCTTGGTGAACCTGTACAGGTAGAAGAGACTCTCCACTGTCTCTGGTCTCAGGAGGTTGTGTCTGTCTGCAAGCTATCACAGAGAGTACAAAGAAGACACAAATACTAAATTATGAGCCACATCTGATAGTATTAACATCTGCTTAACTTTAAGACTCTCTTCCTAAACCTTTGCAGGTCACATTTCCTGCATTTCTACTGTAGAACATTTTCATCAGTGGGAAGTTTGGGCCACATTTTACTGACTTGAGGCAATGCCCTAATCAAGAATGACAGTTTAAGTCTGAAAGGACAATAGCAGAATTAGGAGTGGACACTTTGACAGCACTGTCTGTACCTACCTTTACGTCGATGTCTCGGGTGCTGCCCTGATGCATGTTGAAGTGGACGATCTCTGGACTGAGGCCAGTCTCCATCTGGACGTACATTTGGTAACAGGTCTCCATCAGCTGTTTGGCCAGATCCATGTGATCAGCAGGCAGGCCGTTGTGAGCACCAAGGGCCAGAGTGCCTGGCAGGAAGCACACTAGATGGTCCTAAAAATCCACAAGAACAGAGAGATAACAGTAGCTGTGTTAACATACCGACAAGAATTATTAGTTTATAAATTCATGAATTCATTTGAATAAAGTTTCATCTCTGCAGCTTCCTAGTTGATCAGTTATGTTCATCTCTTAGATAAACGACAAAATTAATAATTAATATTAGCAATCTCCACTTAAACCAAATGACATACAGTCAGCTCAGAAGGTTTGTCCATATTTACTTTACTAACTTATTTAGAAAATGATTCCTTTTTGCTATCCGTTTAGGCACAAAAGGAAAAAAAAGACAATATACTGAACATCACACTAGTTTGCCTTTTACTCGCCTTTTCGGCCAGTTGGGTTTTTAACACTTTTAACATCACACACATGAATTTATCTGCCGACTGTCAACACCAACTGACCAAGACTGGAACAGACTTGGACCAATTTGGTCAACAGTAGAGAACCTTAAAATTAAAAAAATAATTAAAATGAATCTGCATTTGATAAGGTAGATGAACTAAGATTAAGACAGACCAGCAGGAGAACCATGGGGGTGGTGTTCAATGATCACTGACCATTTTAGGGCTGAACTGTCCATGTGAGAGCTCTCCAACAAAGGTGAGACCATTTGGTGAAGACTTCTGCAACAGGTTCTTCTTTACACCCTCTATTGCCTGCAGATAGTCCTCCAAGAGCCTAAAATCACACACACAATGACACTTCAGGAACAATGTTCTATGTTTAACAGTGAATGGGGAAGTAACTTAAACACAGTGACAACAGCCAGTAGAGTGAAATGTAGCTTTTTCATCGTCCTTTGGATCCAGCACACATGTCAACTAATGTAGGCCAAAACCCAGTGACACAAACACACACTTCCAACAAATAACGCAGACATTCAAAGCTGCTTAATCTAAGCCTGTGCCCTCAAGCGGTGCCGAGTGTCTGGAGGGGATTGTTCCACTTTATTAATCTTTCATCAGTCCCACTGACACAGCCAAAGTCACCAAACGCTGCCAGTGCTGCCAGAATAGCATCAACACTTCCATCTCTACATATGACTCAGGCTGAGTTTATAGTGTTTTAATTTAAAGTCAATATTGCTCCATTTTAAATCAATACTATGTGGTAGGCATACGCCCAGAGCTATAACACTTTAGTCAACTGACATTAATGAATGATCTTCTAAAAAGGATGCATTACCTTAGTTATTTTCCAGACAAAATGTTATGGTTCCAGTTTTTTTAAAATGAGGATTTTCTGTAGTGTGTCCCCAAACTCTTTATACACCATCATTCTTTTTAGGCCTGTGCAGATTTTAACTATTGTTCTAAAACGTTTATAAGCCTGGGCTGTTTGTTCAGAAATAGTATTTAAAATGGTTTTATCTCATTGTGAATCTTTGGTCTTGAGTTTTGCATGGAAAAGTTGTATAGTGGCAAATTGCCTGTCTCAGCTCGACCCAAGCCGGCGAATGGAGTTTTTACAATTTGTTTCATGTCTATATGACAGTAATGTAACTTATAGACTTGTGAAAGTGAATACTGGGTATCTTTAGTGAGACTTACTGGTCCTCCTTCTTGCCTCCCTGGATCCACTGCTTCAGCAGGTATTCGTAGTAACTGTCTGCTCTGGCTCCCAGTGTGTAGATGCCTTGATGGGTGAACTGTCCATTGTTTGTGTTGATAAACATGGGCACAAGACCATCCAGCTTGCCATCCAGCTTGTGGACCTGTTTCATAACCTCAGCCACCGCATCCTGGAACACCAAGGTCAGAGGTCAGATGAGTTAAGATGTGGGGATTTAGGTTTTACATTCATATGCTGACTCAAGTAACTAATCCTAGATTACAGGGAATCTCATTTCAAACCTTGCCAGCAGTTTTAACAAATTATCTTTCTGTAATATAGTTTCAAATATTCCAGCACACATTTGGAGTTTCACATATCAACTTAATCAATTGCTCATAGATAGACTCTATATTTAAATAGGTGTGAATATTATAAGAATGAGTACCTGACATTTAGCTAATGGTGCTTCAGCACCCATTTAATTCAAAACCAATTTGGTCACAATACACTTCTACAAATAGCATAAAATATGCTTGAATTAATTGGTAGGTGACAGAGAGCAGAAATATGTTGCGATCTTAGTGCATGTTTATTTAAAAAAGAAAAAAAGACTAAAACCATGTACTGTGTATCCTCCAGAACAACAGTAGTACTTCCCTACTAGAATAGCCCGTCTAGATTCTCCTCTCCACTAAAACTAGCAAACCTTGGCGTGTGCCACAGAATTTGACACAGCTGCTTACTGTACATAAAGAGATAAAATTGCCTTTTTTATACTCCACTCAGTTGCAAGAATGAGGACAAATGTAACCAATCCCAGCATTATTTACATAAGCTTGTAATTGGTATTAATCCTTGCAGTATTTCTGGAAAAAGGGACGGACCAAGTCAGAAGAATGGCTGGCAGTGGGCAAAAACAAATCATGGTAGCAGCAGGAAAAAAAAAAGTTAGTCTTAGGGAATAACAAGGAGATTATCCCTCACTGGCTTCCCATTCAAAAACATCTTCTACCAATTAGTCAATGTTTCTGCATTGATGTGGCTGTGTTTCAGGGGAGGTTTGAGTGTGAAACTCTGATCATATTACACCCTTGTGGTGACACTCCTAACTATAAGGTGAAAAGAAGCAACTAGGGAATAGATGTGTATTAAAGGAAATGGTGAATAGAACCAGTGTTAAAAAAAACCGTAATACATTCACGGCCCTTTCCAACACAGATCTGAAAATGTTGATAGCACAGTCTGACATTACAGGACTGCTCCCCATCCACTTTTATGACATTTACCAACCCCAATAAGTACTTATAACGTTTTACCGTTTCTTTTAACAATTACATATTACAGTTACAGAATCGTATGATTATCAATGAATTCTCAAAAACAATCTCCTGATGTGCAATTTTTAAAAAAATATTACGATTTGCTGCAAAAAACATACCAGGTTTTCAGAAAAGCTGCAGCACATTCAGTCAGTCAACACCAAAATTGGGCCACAAGGTTCATGCGTTGTTTTTCTGTAACCCAATACATGACTAAACATGACTGGGTTTTAGGCGCTGCTGCAGATTAAAGATGGAAGGTGACTGGGTTTTGACTATTTCAGTAACCAAGAGTATAGTTGACTGGGCATTTAGCATTTCAAGTACATTCTCATGCTAACAGAATCAGTGTGTTTTTTTCCCTATGTCTTCTCAAAACTTGCTTTTACGGGTAATCCTTGCAGCTCAGGCTAAGGCACGTACCATGTTAACAAGACTTCTGGGGTTCGAATGTGGCCCATCTCTCGAAATTATTAGCCTGTAGTTGACCGCTAACCACAGTCCGATGGGAGAGATGAAATGGCTGCTGCAAGGCAACGAAAGCAGCAGCTGATATCAAACCCAATAGGTATCAATGCATACAAGATCAAACTAGAAAAAGCTAATACCCAGTCTACATAAAGAGTTCTCTGTCGTAGTTCTCAATGTTGACTGTCTATAGCCACGCTAGCAGCCCAGTGAGGCTGTAACGCTAATGACACACCAAAAAGTCACAATATTACTGGATGGATAAAACAATGGCCAGATAATTTAACTACTCCTAGATCCTCACCACAAAAGTGAGCAAAACAAATCCTATAAAAAGGTTATCTCATCTTGTTAGGCTCAACCACACTCTTCTATGGTTCTTTGTCAGTTTCAACTGTGCTTTCAACTTATTGTAGGACTGAAATAATTACATGAGTAATTTGAGTGAAATCTTCAGGACACTACAAACCAGTTTTAAAACAGCACCTGCAGATGGGAAGTGGTATCTGTCAGTGCTGTTTAGAAGTGTCATAACGTTATGTTGGAACAACATAATGACATCGAGTTGTTTTAGCCACATTACAAATGGAAAGCTGAACCTATGTGCCACTCTTAACTCTTTCTGCGTAGACCCTGGATCTGCGTGGTTGTATCTTTTGGTCAGTTACCTGGTAATGTGGTTCCTGTGTGAGGCGGGCAAGCTCTCTGAACTCCAGCTGGATGCTTGTAACCTCCGCCACAGTGCTGTCTGAGGTCCAACGAGGAGGGTGGGCTGTCCCCTTCCCAATGTTCACATCGGAGTAGGGGATCTTGGACGGGGTGTTGAAGGCTGGCATCAGCCTGGAGCCGATGTCTTTCTGCAGAGGAAGACTGCAGATTACATGCATGCGTTTGCAGCTGAAAAGCATGAAAACCACAAGTAAAAGCATCAACCATGACTGACTTGCATTTGATTATTGTCATGGATGGTGTGAAGTTTTGCACTGTGTTCGCAGCCACTTTGAGTCGTGTTGCTTTTTGTGGTAGGGCTCATATTGTTTGCTCTTGTGTGTCACTGAGGGCTGACAGCTTTGATTTGCGGTTTACAGCCTGTTTCAGCCAGAAAAATCAGCAGATCAGATTAGAGGGACATTTTGCTCAAGTGACTGTAGGTTGCAAAAGGTGCTTTATGTAGCTTTTCTACTGCTCAAACCATGAAGACCAGTCAGTTAAAATAAGATTAATGTACAATAACTTACACAGTTATTAAATCACAAAAAGAATCTGCAGATTAATTAATACTGAAAATAAAAAATAGTTGCAGCCTTACATTCTGTAAACAAATAACATTACCAAGCTGTTGAACCCTGTACACTACATTTTACACTACATTTTACACTGCATGCTCCCCAGTATGCCATTTTCAGGCTATGGTTTGTACAACAGGTTTTAAAAGCTGGGACAGGAAGCAACTGGGTTTGTGAGAGTGCTCCATGAGAAAATGTGTACATTTATTTGAGCAACTAGGAGGATCATAAACAGCTGGAAGCATTTCAGACACTTCCATGTTTATGTATGTGTAGTTTAAAGTTAAAGTAGCATGTGCTTGCATCATTTGGTTTTGAAATAAGTGCATGCATGTTGACTTACAGCTTTGTCTAGGAACATGGTGTCTCCAGTCAGATGGTGGGTACTCAGCAGGCCTCCCAGGATGCGGATGGTGCTTTCAAACAGGTTGACATCTACATTCTTATTGAATGTGAGCTCTGTGGCGACCCACGCCTTTGCCTCTTCAAATTCTGTAACAACATTTTCACAATAAATCCCCCAAAAACAATAAACCAACCAATATCATCTGAAATTGTATAAATTTAACTGGTTTAAATTGAGATTACTAAAATATGCTACTTCTGAATGAACTCTGGAGCTATCCGGAGTGGAGATTGTGACATCAGAGTCATCCATTAAGCTCTGTTGTGGAGAAACGATGAGTGTTTGGAACATTCTGAACATACTGATCAGTGGTGGAGAAGTGTTTTATGTTGCAGGAGTGGTTTGAGAAGGTTTTTTATAGAAGATTTGATACATTTTAAGACAATCTTTTTTGCTGTGACACTGCTTCTGACTACAGCTGCCATTCTCTAGAAGCTCCTAATTTTTCAAGCACACTGGAGTTGACTATTTGATAGAAGATAGATTTTTTGTGTATTATTGTTTGGTTTTTCTAAAACCACATTTTGTTGTTACACAGGATTCAGAGTAAAATTCAAGCTCTTTCAAGGTATTAGTATCCGAACATTTCCAGACCCTCAAAGCCTTTATCAGTACTAAATATCTAAATTGTCAGCAATCAATGTATTTTATCACTTTATTTTAGAAGCTGTTCATATTAATTTAGTTTTGATCATGATTATTTATTACTAACTTCAAATATGACGACAGGGTTGTTTTTTTCCCAAATATTAAAAGATTTTTGGTTTACTTGAATGATTGTGTAGATTAAACACCAGGTAATGCTGGAAATCGAGCATTTTTTCAGTAGTATAGTTGAATTCAAGCATATTCCTAAGCTTGAAAACAAAATAAAATGAAGCATTGTCCAGACTTTTTAGACTGTATGAACAAAGTTAGGTTATATAATGACCCAGTAAAGATTCAGAAATTTAAAGTTGGAAAGCACCAACGTCAGTCTACCTTCTTTAAGTCCCAGGATCCACATGGTGTCCAGGGCATCGATAAGCGTCAAACCCAGGCCAAACCACTCGCTGTAGGACTTGGAGAGGGGCCTGAGCTCATCGTGGCCCCAAGCAAAGTCTTTATAACCCTTCCATGCATGTCTGAAAGCTGCCTGCACTGCCTCCAGCCTGCTGGCTTCTGGAACACACAATAAACACAAGATGTCCGTTTATTACCCCATCCAACTCTAGAGAGTGATTCAGAAACAAGTGACTGACATGTTCCACTTATTTCAGCTGCAATTATATTTTATTTGGATACTTGATTTCAGGGTCACACTCAAACACAGTCAAGCTTCTAAAAACTGTAATGGAACTGTTTATATTCTGTTAAATTGTTCATAATTAACCCAAAGTGGTAAGTAAGACAGCAGATACCTGACTCCTTAGAGGATTTGGCTTTTTGGTCATTGTTTTCCTCATCCTTGTTGCCTTCTGTGGCCCGCTCAGTGTCGATCAACGCCCCACGCCAGCTGAAAATCGCCAGAGGATTAAGAAATAAATAATATAAATAGATACATAAACAAAACTAACTTGTGACAACACTTCAAGTCTCACCTGATGACTCCCTCCTCCTCTCCTTTTTTCTTGCCGTCAGCTGCTGTATCTGAAGCATTCCCTTTCTTCTGAAGACGATTCTGAAGGACCGGCGGCCCTCTCTTATTGGATAATTTCCTCTGTGGCAAGTAGTGACAAAAATTAAAACATGTAAAACATGCATCATCATGTAAATGTAATGTACATATAACATTAAGCTACAAGTCTATTTCACTATATATATATATGTCGTCTAATACCGTATTCGTGAGTAGCGTTGCTTGCATATTAGGAGGATGTGCTAACGTATCAGGTTAGGCGGGGTATGAATTAATAGATATAGTTAGACTTGGAACTTACATACTCATATCTGTATGTAAGTAGAAGCAGCTCAGGCATGTCAATGGTGACCGTACTAAGAGTCCAGCGCCCAGAATAAGTATAGTTAGCCATAAGATTTCATCACATCTGTTTTATATATCTCCTCTCTTTTTGTCATGTATATACTCGCCATTATACCCTCCTACGTTAGGTATAGTCAGATATAGTATACGTCTGCTTCAGTTTGTGACTGAATGACTGACAGACTAACTTAGTTAGTTATATTTGCAAGATGACCCTACAAATGACTTTTATGCGGCCACCTAGGGGAAAACTGATACAATTACTATTAAGAAGAAATTGGTTCTGATTGGTTGACAGGTGTCTGTATATTAGGAGTTTCTGTCAACATTTTAAATCACTGTACCAGGGATATTAAACTGGAAGTAAGCATGGCAACACAAACACGCACTCTGTGTGTGACCAGTCAAGTCACTATTAACCTAACTTCATTAAACTGAGCTCTTACAATTTGAATGATGATTTACACAAAGTCCTTGATATACAAGCATCCCTTAAAAAATAAAAAAAATGCTACAGCGACTTTGTCTGACCAGATATTCAAAATAACCGATTAATTTAAAGGCTTTCTTTCCTTAACCCCACCCAGATACAGACTTTATTCAAAAAATAATAGATATAATAGCTCACACTTCTTTCAAAGATTCCATTCAGACTTGTTTTAAGACATAAAAATACTCTTTATTCTGCACTGAATATGAAATTGTACCACAAAAGAAGTTTATTTACCTTGTTAAAAATTCTAAATATACTCCTTCTCCCTCATTGAATCTAAAGTTTATAAATACAATTCTTTCATTTAAAAAAAGTAACCAGTCCCTAAACATCAGCAAGTGAGGTAATAAGAAAAAAATATTTTTGAGTAGAGGAGGACATATTTTACAAACATATCTATTACAGCTCGGGATTTAAAATACTCCATACTAAACATATATATATTTTTTAATTACTGACAGCAGGTTGTGTGGAAAACAATGCTGTGACAACCACAAACACAATTCCAATCACCTTCAATGTATTGGGGCGAAGCAGTAATCCAGCTGACAAATATTTTGAAAAAGGTCACATAAAACCAAATTTATCTGTGTGGGGAGCTACCACTAGAAGTGAGTGAGGTTATGTTATTTTGACTGAGAAAGTACATGATAAATTAGCTGGATATGATATGAGAAATATAACGGGGTTTCAGGTTGCAGGTTTCAACAAGTTAAATTAAGTCTTTTAAGACTATTATAAATGGATATGAAGACAAATCTGCATTTAAGAATGCAACTTTATACAAGTAATGTTAACTTCATTAATCCAACTTTAAGGCCTGACAAAAACATTTAAGGCATTTTAAAAAGGCCTAAAATTCTGATTATTGGATTTTAGACTTTTTAAGGCCCTGCTGACACCCTGTATAATAGATACAGTATGCGTATTCCAGTGATACCCAACTATCTGATGCTAAAAAGAAAATGGTCAGCAGTGTCACTTTCTTATCCTCTGGTCCAACTCTGAACACATTTAACTCAAACTTCAATGTCTACAAATAGTTGCACTTCAATAATCACCTAATATTTTGTACTTTTTAGAGACACAGTCACCTTAACATGGACACTACATGTAAAAACACTAAGGAAAGGAAGTGCTCTTTAGTAACCCTATCAAAAGAATACCCTTCAAAGAACAGACAGAGATATACAAACCTGGGAGGTTGGTTTTGGCAGTAGCGGTTGGGCCGGTTTAGCAGGCTCAGGCAGCACATGTGGAATGACAGGCCTCAAGACGCTGTTATGGTTTGTGTCTTGCTCTCTCTCTTTAAGGCCTCAAGACACACGGACACAAACACTGTATTAAAGTACTGGATAGCTCAAGGGTGGCAGGCTGATGAATTATTAATACTCTTACTTATTTAAACTGCACTCTTAAAGACAAAACACCTTCTGTTGGCATTGCACAACTCCAGCTCTGACAGCACGCCAGCAGCTCAGACTCATGGGATATGTTTAATGTATTGGAGCCTTACCATTGAGGTGTTCAGTAACAGCAGGATAGGAAGCAATTCCACAAATAAAGAGGAGGACGAGGACGAAGAGGATGAGGCTCCGCTGCAGCCTGGACAGCTGGTTCCATTTCTGCAGGCACACAGAAGACAGGAAGATGGACAATATAATACAATGCCAACTTCTACCCAGTTCCTGGAAATTTTCTATGGTTACAATTGTGAAGGCTTTTTCTGAAACAACACAAGCAACTGACAGGTCTCATCACTCAGCTCAGCTTCCCACTCCCACTGGTAGGATCACAGGAGGACTATCTCAAATATGCAATCTCATTTCACTCATTTGTTTATTAGATGGAATGACAAATTAACAAACTTGCAATGACAGCCTCAACAATGATACTTGGAGAGCTGCTGTATGCAATGTCACTTCTTACCCTTACTGTTGATAGTAAACTCTGAATATGTCATCACAGGGACAACATCCAACTCTACACTACAGCACAGAAAAGGAGAGGACCAGTCTTCACATCCACAATATCTTTCTTTCCACAGATATGTTGGCAAGTATCGCTGGGAAAAGTAGGACAGTGGGAGTGGTGGGAAACCAGAGCACTGTAAAGACCGGAGGAGAAAGGGAAATGCCTTTATGAGCAGCTCACAGATAGGAGTCACTCACCCTCCAGCAGGACTGTCTCCTCCACTGCTTACTGTTATTGTAACTTTCACTTCCTTGTCCAGCAAAGCTTATAGATACATAGTCCTGTCGAGATGGTGGGTGCATGTCTGTAACCCAGCCCTGGAGGAAGAGACACAGTGAAGAGTATGAGAGTGAGGCAGGTGGGGAGATATTAACCCAGATAAGATGCAGCTAGCATGTGAGGCTGGCTGGTAAATACAGGTGTGGTTGTGATGATTCCAAACTAACACTATATTGCCTTTGCAGAGAAGAGCTTACTTTGGGGTTTTTACGTTCACACAACTTGCCCCAAGTCCATAGCACAGTGCTAAGTAACATAAGTAATACTCGTGCTGTTTCATTTCAGGGGAAATGTAAGCATACATGTTGGTGGTTAGCACAACTAGCTCAGTTACATAGCTGGCATCACATCTACAAACGCCACCATGCGTACGACCCCCAGTGTTAATCAACAGGCTAATGTAATTAAAGTAAATAGTGTTAATCTGGCATTAAACGTTAACTGAATTTTGACACACACAGCTTATCCAGTAGACATAACTTTAACAGCAGGTAATACACACCAAATATTGCAGCCTACAGTAAATTCATACTAATGCTTATCTTACCTCTCACACAAGAGGTCAACCCCGCTGCAACGGCTGCTTCTACTACGCTCCCCTGGCTCGAGGTAACGTTTTGGCGGATTCACAGTACAACTGTGGACCGAGGCATGACTTGAGGCCTACCACAGCCGATACCATGTGTAAAGTAGAGCGCTTTATTAGTGCAGCTAAAACATTTCTTGAAAAACAAAACCAACTTGTTTTGCTCAGGATTTAATGGGTGAACATAAAAATAAAAATAAAAATAAATGGACAATACCTTGTGAAGTATCCAGCGTTGGCGTCAGCTGTGCAACCAGCAGGCGTTAACGTCAACAGCACTCAGCGTTTCCACCGCAGTTAGCTCAACGTTACTGAAACAGGCTCGGGGGTCTCTTCATGTTTCAAACACTTCACAGATACCGAAAGCCACGCAGCCGGTAGTTCTCACTGAATAACTACCACAGAGACGATACAACTCTAATTGTCATCCACTTGTAGCTTAGAATGACACGGTCAACAACAATGTGATTTAGGTGCAGTCATGCTGCCTTTAATGACTTCCTCGAAATATCGTAAATGGCAACACTTTTGCACTTTAATCTCTAAATAATAATGATAATAAAAAAACATAATTATCTAAATTTTCTAAATTCATATTCTGAAACTGCCAATATCACTACATTCTTTTTTACTATACTATGTTAAATTCTTACAGGACAAACTGACTCCTAAACCCACCCTCCCAACCCTGAATCTGAGTTATGTATATGTCACACTGTTAACTTGCAGATTCCTCAGAAACGTTTTTGCACATTCCTGTACAGCTCTTCACTCCTTTATTAAAGTATTCTGCCATACTGTACATATTGTCTCTATTTTTATCTTTATATTTTCTATGTTTAATTGTTATGCACCAACGTACCAAGGCAAATTCTTTGTATGTGAAAACCTACTTGGCAATAAACCCGATTCTGATTCTTTAGGTCCACATATTATGAAAGTGGGGTCAACATAGTGCCATTTGTAATACTGATGTAAGATATGTAAGTTATTTCTAATATACAGTAACTGTGATTTGTACAAACAAATATACTGACATTAAAACTGCATCTGCCCTGAGATTAATGTAGCATTGCACTTTCTCAATCTGACCACTGGAGGGAGGTGCAGTTCATAATGGTCGTATTTTTGTAGGCCAACACACCATACAGTGCAGGGTTTTATATTGTTAATAATAATAAGTCTTAAATGTTAACACAGATTTTTATTCAGTAACATGACTATTAATACAAGCAGTGATACCTTTAAAGCAGTATCTGTATGATTCCGACCTAACAACATTAGGTTGTAGCTTCTCACTGTGACAACACACGCATGCGTGCTGCGTGGAAGTTTCCTCAACGTCCCAGTGGACTCCACACAATAAACAAATAGAGGTATAGAAGATGTTTTGTATTGAAAGGTAACATACAATATACACATTAACAGGCACACAATAGGCTCTCATGTCACCAGATGCACACCTGTTGATTCACTGTGTGTCTAATAGTTTGGTATTTTGGCATAAATTTGTTCCCGTTCAGCCTGAGCATACAGGTACAGTTACTAAAGTTAACTTAGGATGCTGACTGTGGCACTCCCTCCCTCCACCAGAAAGACATACCAGTGTCGGTGGTGGGAAGCCAGTGAGGAATCATGTCCTTGTTGCAGATAATTAACTAGATCAGATTATCTTGAGAACAGGTCTAAAGAAAAGCCCATCAGCCATGGTTACCCTCTGCTCCTGTACAGCAGTGATATTAGTTCAAGATCAGAAATGTTTCTGCATGGTGCATGATAACTGTTTGCTAACTAAATTAGCATGCTGAGGATGAGGCTTTGAGTACAGCAGAGCTTTATGTGGTCATGGGGTTCAGTGTACTACAAGGAGATTTTAACTGGTTATAAAACAGTCTCAGTTTAATACTCATGCCCCTATGTGTCCTATGTAAGCACACAAGACCATCAGCAAAAACACTTGCTATTTCTATGTAGTTGTTAATGCCTGTCACTGGGTGGGATTCCCCTTGAAATCAATGAAACGCTGCCACTTTTGTCCACAGGGGCGGCAAGAATCAACACAAAATTGCCTGAGTGAAACAACATACAACAAAATTCATTTCAATGAATTTATGATGAAGCACCATACAGTATTAAATGTAACTGTATACATTATACAGTTTTAGCACAGGTAGCTTCGAGGGACCATTTATTGGTTAAAGCTGCACTAATAGGTTTTTTTTTATATAACCAAGTGGTGAATGAATACGTCTCTCACACTGCCAAACCCATAGAGAGTCATCACCAGACTGCAGTTCCCTTTTAGCACATTGTTTTCTTGCCTGCAACTCTGCTCCCGTGAACTGTATTTTCAGACAGATGTTTTTAGCAAAAAACTGAAGAGGGAAAAAAAGCTAGAATAAACCCACTGTACACTACCTGCTCAGCAGCAAACAGCAGACATACAAGGTTAGAGACTAGCTGGTGAACATAGTGGAGCTTTTAGCCGCTAAAGAGCAAAATTTTTCTTAAGAGTTTGTGGAGAACATAACAGAGCTAAATATAGAGTAAATATTGGACATCATTCATCAGGTGAACCAAATACCACTCCAAATGAACACTATTTTTGCAATAAGCAAATGTTTACTTCCCCTTGACTTCTTTATAAGGTTATATATGTTATTGTGTGTTCAGCTTGTTCTGCAGCCCCCAAGTGGCCAAAAAAATAATCAATTAATTTAACTTTTGTGCAGCAAATCAAACCAAAAACCTAAAAAAGACAGCATAAATTAAAAAAAATCACAAACTCAGAAAACAGCTCATGATGAAAGATGGAGATGACTGAGGCACTAATACAGGCGATGACCAAAAAACTTGGTTCAAAAATATCTACAACACCTACATGATGTATTTACAATAGTTACATTTAACATTTAGGTTCAAATAGGTGACAATTTGGACAAAGCTCTTGTACACCATAAAATCACATTGAGCTTTTAGTTGATGGTGAGAGCTGCAGACAGACCGTGAGCTGGCCTTCTGTTGGACTAGTGAGTAATATTAGGTGGATTCCTATGTCTTTTGTTGTTGGACATGCTTGATGTTTGCGAATAGCACTTCAAAACTGTAGGGGCGCCAAGTCGCAAAAATATATGAGGATTACTTTACTGACAAGTGACTGACCAATTGCAGACCATGTCAACATTGCTGATCTCTGACAACATAGAAAGAATTGGAGGGTCCACAATAGAGGAAGCAATCATATTAGCTTTGCTGAACCATGAGTTGTCACTGAAAGCTTCCAGCACCACCTATATAGTCATTTGAACACAATGATCAAATAAAAATGTACCTGAATTCAAATTAAAATGACTAAATGAATGTCAAGCATTTACATAAATAGGCATGTTTCAAAAACACACAAATAAATGTACAAAACATGGTTACTGTCAAGAATTTCAGGTTCAAAATATCCCTGCTCTGAAATGTGGGCAAGCCAGCAGTCTGTACAGAGGAAACTCTCTCTCCTGGAGGATCTTCAGTTCACTTTGTGTCTTTTGTCCTCACAGCTTTGTTGTTTTGAAAAACGTTGTAATTAAAAAAATTGCTCAAGATGTCCAGAATAAATTGGCTGGTCAACACAAAAAAAAAGAATCAGACAACTCTGAACTACAAAGCAATGATGTCATTCTATAAAGTACAAAAGTGCCAGAAACACATGGTTTTCCTGTTCAGATCTGTATAACTGCAGACCACCACACAGATGCAATCATGCAAAGAGGTGGAATCCCCTAGCTGAAGCAGGCTGGTCCTATGGTGAAGCCAAACTCCTGGGTTAGTTCGTTGTTTCCAAATACTGCCAAGTCCCTGAGAGGCAGCATTTCGAGATCTTCACTTTCAAACTGAAAAACTGAATCCTGGGCCCCCATCTCCAGCTGTGAAACAGGAAACAGTGTATGAAAGTACTCAAGAGATACATACACGCACACACACACAAACACACACTGTCACTTACCACACACTCTTGCAGTGCTGCCAAGTAACTCTGCCTACGAGTGTCAGCCAGGAACTTGACTTCCCTCTCTCTGCGGCTCTGTCCATTTCCTGGCTGACAGGAGTAAGTGATGGTCTGAGTGGAGAATCTACTGTTCAGTCGCAGAAACCTCATCTGCACCACATCTGTTGCTCCCGGATACTCAAACTGGAGGTGAGGGGTTTGCACGAGATATGACTCAGACAAAGAAAGGAAATGAGTGAAACACATCTCAGAAAAATAAAGCAATATCTGGATCAGACACTCACCTGGAAGCCGTCTTCAACTGTACTCAACCAGTGAAATGACATATTGGTGCCAGAATCCTTCAGCCAAGCTTTTACTGGAACCTGGTTAGTCGAAAGCAATCCATTTTTAGACATGATCCCAACGTCAATCCCATGGGATGATTTATGTACAGTATGTATGTATTCAGTAACATAATATCAAAATGATATTATGTTTTAGTGTGTGTGTGTGTGTGTGTGTGTGTACGTACCTGAGGCTGCAGTGGAGACAGGCAGGTCTTCGGCTCTGCTCTGAAGTCACAGTACACTTGAAAAGCATCAGCTGGGCTCCCCTGGTTAGGATCAATGTAATACATCCCTGAAATAGTTATAAGATTAATTTTCAATATTACAACACAGTACAAACATCTCTTCTGCATGTTCACAGCACATCTGCATTACCTGCTGGTAAACATGAAAGCCATTCCAACCTACAGACACATATGGTTATTTCAGTTTATATTTTCCCTCAGTGAATGTCAAGTCTCACCGTTAGTGGAGTTGGGCTGAGCGAGCCACAGCTCAAGACATGTAGTAGCCGGGTGTTGTTTGCTGCCATCTGGTGGGTTTATGAACCAGTGAAGATCTCTCTGAAGGGAGTCCAACAGAGTCTGGACCAGGATGTAGTTGGGCTTGTCGGACATGTACGTGAGCTCCTGAGATATTCATTGCAAAAATAAGGAGGGATATGCCATAAGCATGGATGAAATGACAAAACAGATTTTACAGATGAAGATTAGTTTACTTGCCATTTGGAATCCTACCTATAAAAAGAAGTTGTATAGTGTCTTCACTAGTGCCCCAACTTCGTGGAAGTGCAATACTAAATTACTGAAGTAAGACCTACTAATCATTCCAAAAATAGAGACATTTTATTAAAAGCTAAGAAAATATTAACATCAGATACAACAATGGATTGAAAAGGCTGTACATTACACCTTAGACTAAAGAAGTGAAATGTGCAAGAATAATCCATGGGTGCAACTCAGTCATACTGGAGTAAAAAGCCAGCCATGGTGTGTGTATTATAAATAATGCAACATTGCAATGCCTGTGTACTTTGTGTCTACTGCAAAGTTTACATAATAAATCTGCTGAGGGGTGGCAAACACAGGGACAAGTTCTACGAGAGCCTGACAATATGCACAACATAAACATAACTAAACATGGTGACGCAGAAGGTTGTTATATTTAGTGGCATTTAAATAATCTGATAAATGCAGCTAACTCACCCTTCTTAAGTCCCGCCCCTTTGTTGCTCTTTTCAACAATTAAACAAGCCACAATCAGAACCTCTATGCTATGCTATCATCTTGTGTTGAAATGACAACCACATTTTGCTAATGTTAGCAAAAATATAGCTAACTAGCTAACTAACGATTGCTGTAAATTAGGTAGCTAGTTAGCTAGCGTTTTTCTAACATTAGCTTAAGATGTAACTATATATTTATATATATCGAAGTACAGGAAAGGAGGAGGTTGGCCAAAGTTCTGACTGAGGCTTGCTCAACTGTGATTGGAGCACAGAGCAAAAGGGGACGGAACTTAGGAAGGGTCAATTGTGGACAAGCTCTAATAATTTCTTCTCAGAACATTCTGTGCCAATATTGTTGTGGTTCTTTCAGAGTCTGTTGCTGACAGCCACCATTATGCACACAAACACACAATGGCTCTAAGCCATGTAATCACCAGTCACACTTACCTTCAGCTGAGTCAGTGTAAGGTTCAGGGAGATTCCTGGGGGTCCGGGTGGGCCAGGTGGACCCTAACAAACGTAACAAGTGAATACAGATGTGAGGTGTTACATATTGGCAATAAAATCTATTTCGTACTGTACTAAAAAACATTACATTACACAACTAAACTGCATTATTCTCTTGTTCATTGCACATATACTCACAGGTAAGCCTTTCTCTCCAACATTGCCTGGTGGTCCAGTAAATCCCTTCAAACCCTGATGATCACAAACAGTATCTAATTAGGAATCTGCATTTTTTCAAGATTTCTTAGGAAACAACCTCAAGCAATCTGGTTTTGGTTTTACCCACCTTATGTCCAAACAAACCCTAAAAACAGAAAAAAAGATTTTAAGTTATGTTAATCATTTCCATCATTAAAGAACTCATTATTGTTGGTCAAAATGTGAGTTAGTAGAGAAGGACTTACAGGGAGCCCAGGCAGGCCAGGAGCACCTCGTCTACCTGGTGGACCAATATCCCCCTGGGAAACAATCATACAGCATTATTGACCATTACTGTATTAGTGTAATGGTTTATTGAAAGCTTTTATGGTGCATTCAACTTTCAATAACTTTGACTCAATGTTGACAGTCAATTGAATGCTGGGCTGTGCGGAAGCAGGTACGTTTTTACAATGCTGACACCATTCCTTGGTCACAGAGAGAGATTAAATCAAACTATACCAGTGTAATGTATTCTTCACATTACTCCAGAGCAGCTGAAAGCCCCTCCTCGCCTCAGGTGCGATGGGGGCTTAGGGCAGAGAGTGGACAGAGGAGGCAGATCTGAGAAACGGGAAGGGTGGCGATTGTGGAGGAGTTCGGACAGATATAAGGAGGGGAAGGTTGTGGATGCCTTGAACGGTAAACAGGAGAATTTGAAGCGATGCGGAGTTGACTGGGAGCCATGGGAGTGCGCAGAACAGAGTGATGTGGTGGATGGAGGGGGTTCTGGTGATGATCCAGCTGCAGGAGTTCTGAAACCAGTTGAAGTTTATGGGATGTATTTGGAGGTAGGACCAAAGAGAAGGAGTTGCAGTAACCATGCGAAGAGAGTCACAAGGCTTGTACAAGAATGGCAGTGGGAGTGGGAGAAAGGAGGGCAGGGGCGGATTGGCACCCCCCTCCCCCCCCCCCCTTTAAATTTCGTAGATGGAAATATGCAGACCGGGTGATGTTATTGATATGTGATTGGAAAGATAATGTGCTGTCAAGGATGAAACAGTTGTTTTCTAATCTATACCAGTACAGTGCATAAATGTATTGATTTGAAAATTAGTTCATGATTAAATGATCATGCAATCATATGGTAACAAAACTGGGAATGATGTTTACTCTAATGAATGACCAAGTTTCATTCATGCTGTGTTGATGATTGGAAACAGAGAGGTAAGAAATACACATTGAAAACAGCCCGGTATTCTTTTGAATCATGGTCATCAGTAACTTGTGTGAACTGTCATGAATTTAATTATGTGCATGTTGTAGTGAATGGAATGATTACGAGTTGCAATAACAATAAATTGATCTGAACATCTGATCTAATCTTTTGGGGGACCCTGTGACCTCACCTTGGGAAACACAGTTGTAGGACAATTGAATGCATCTGCATCTTCAAATTATATTTTAAATAATTATAAAATTGTATAATTACTGAATGAAGTGGGTGGTTATTTCTTCTGACCACTCAAAGCACTTTACAATACATTTTACATTTACATATTTTCATATACTGATCGAAGAGGCTGCCAAGAAAGGTGCCAACAGCTCATCACAAACAAACTAATTCATTCACACACACTCACACTTCGACTTGCAGTGGGGGGAGCTGGGGATCGAACAGCAAAGCTGCCACTGTTTCATATATACAGTATATACACAGCAAACAGGATTTGTAATTGGCAATGATCACATGAATACACAAATACATAATTCCTTACACTGGCTTATGTATTCTGACATGAGAAAGGGTGAGAGGAATGGTAAAATCTAATGGGCTGGTGTTATGTGTATGATGTAACAGGGTTAATTCACCTGCTCTCCCTTTTGACCAGCTCTTCCTGGCTCTCCAACAGGGGCTAGCAATCCCTGAAACAACATTGATTTCATGATACATTATTATCAGAACAATTTTCTTAAAATTGTCTTGAAAACATACACTGTTTCACATAAATAACAAAACACATTATTTAAAGAAACAACAAAACAAATACTTGGCCATGATAATCATGTAGTGAAAATCTGATATCGTGAAAGCCCAAATACAATAAGCACAGTGCTGCTTCAAAGTATGCAAATGAAGAGTTTTCTATTGTTTTACCATTATTTTTTTAATTTAATCAGAACCAGTATTTTTACATGAAAACAGGTGTATGTTTATCAATTCCATATAATTTTGTTTTTAGCAAATCAATTTGTAGTGACAAGACTAAACAAAAAATATTTTTTGGTAAACCTTTGTAGGGGCAAAAGTTAGTGAACCCTTAGCTGCTTTGCCTAAAACTAACAGGGCAATACAATCAGGTGGCACAAAATTGTTGGCTAAATTAACCAATGAAATGAGAGATCTTTAGGGAAAAAGTGAAAGAAACAGATCAAACCAGGTCAGGTTAGTCTTACCAAAGTTAACCCATACAGGCTAATCATAGTGAGAGAAAAATACATGTCAGAGGACCTCGAGAAGAGTCAATTTTTCAGGGGAAAGCTATAAATTCATCTAAAAAATGCTTAGCTCTATCCAAACTTTTGAGCAACTCAACTGTACATAACTCAGCACACTTCAGAGAGCATTAAATAGTAATGTCTCTTGTTTAATAAAGGCTAGATGAAATACATGGAATACTACAATGATATAACCCACCTTCAACCCTTCTCCACCCGGAGGGCCAGTTGGTCCTATAGCCCCAGGTTCTCCCTGCATAGAGGGAAATACAGAGCATATTCTCTTTTAAAAAAAAATCATACTGCGTACAACAGCCCATGCAGGTGGAAGACTAGAATCAGTCCACTTTTATTTAGTAATATATATTAGTGTTCAGCCTTATGTCCAGCTTTATGCTGATGATAGTGATATATGTCCATGCTTGCACAAAACAGCCGCCTGCCTTTTAACTTTGTAATGCAGTGAGCCATATTACAAAGAAATGTTCTTCTCAAAAATGCAATGTACAGTCCGACCCCCAGGAGAGATAATAACCATAATAATAAAATTTTTATTTGTATTTTTATTTAGCCTTTTTAAAATTTGGCAGTAGAAGTTTCTATGGCTCTAGGTACATCACTTTTGGTTTCTGTTGATAAACATAAATACAAATAAACTATTAAATTAAACAAATAGTCTAAAGTGAAGTCTAAATGCCAACCTTAAAGCCTGGTCTACCCATTGCACCTTTTTCTCCACATGGACCAGTGTCACCCTTTTTGGAAAGATTGTAAGAGAAAAGATGAATGTTAATAATTTGGATTTTAACAGTTTACTTTTATCAAAATGAAGAAGAAAACAAAGATACAGCGCAACAATTACACTGACGCTGTCCAAACATAGATGAAGAGGGGATTGTGAGGAACATTCATGATAAAAATAAAATAAAATAATGATTCATAACACACTTCCAAATAATCTGATGATGTTAAAAACTTACATATGCACCGTCTCTCCCTGGAGGACCAAGCGTACCCAAATCTCCCATCTTCCCCTGCAGGGCCAAAGAAAGGCTTCATTCAACGCAATACCCTGACCATTTGAAAGTCATTTTTGGAGTTAAAAACAAAATCAGAATATTGTGGCATCTAGCGGTGAAGATTACTTCCAAGCTTGTATGAGAAACTGGTGGCCGCAAAACTCGTGAAAATGTGAAAGGCCCTATCTA